ACCCTAAGCCCCAAACCCTAGACGAGCTAACCTTGTAGGTGAAGACCATCAAGGCGCGCTATGCCTGCTGCGTCTTCTTGCGGAGTTGGCCGCATTTACAGGGCGAAGTTAGGACTGTACTCAATCACGAGACCCACGTCTTGATCTCAAGGGTAGAGAGGGATATAGGGGGATGTACACATATATATATATATGGGTCATATAGGGATAATGGAAAAGAATATGGAAACTACTACTCGGATTTAAGGGATTAAAGTTTAGGGATCTCTTACCTGCGTCTTACCTGCGTTTAGTAAGGAATTTCGGAATGGATCCTCAAGTAGTCCCGTAAAGTCCATAGGTACGTACGGAACAAGGGATGTATGTGTTAATTCACGATTCTTATAGGGATCATATTCCACCATTCCCTACTTTGGGATGGGGCTGTGTGCGGGGAACGGCAAGCTACCTGTCAGAGTTTTTCTTTTTCGATTGCCAGGCCCTTTGCAGAAGCTGTGTTCAGAACCTCAGAGCAAGCATGGCTTAGAGTTTTCCAAGCCTTCCACATCACAAAAGACCCCTAACCTTAAAGTAATTGGCACATGGGGTTTTGTTAAGTGTATTTTCAAGCATTCAAGTAGGGTTTAGGGTTCTTCTCCCTGAGCAATATGCGAATGCGAAGCATCAATCAATCTGGTACCTGCAGGCACTCTTTGCTTCTTAGATGACCAGCGAAAGGCCATATTAAATTATCACTATAAACCTTAAACCCTAAATCCTAAACCCAAACATACCAGGGCAGGTCGGGTAGGCCCCAAACAGGCGCAAGCCCAATTTACGCTTTGAAGGTAGAACCCCAATCAGAAGTAAATTGATGCAAACATCCTACAATTTGGTTTGGAATTCCTGTAGCACTCCTAGTTCCTATGGTATGCCCGTAAATGTAAAACATCCTAAAAAGAATCCCTCAACTGCAGTCTCCAAATCAAAGCACCTAGACCCAAAAACCCCAGAAAAGCCCTATGTACCCCTACAAATAAACCCTAAAACCCGCGCAAGCCCTCTATACCCATAAATACCTACCCGGAGCCCTAAACCCTAAACCCTACATCCTAAACCTTCAACCTTAAACCCTAAATCCCTAAACCCTAAACCCTTAACCCTAAACCCGAAACCCTCAACCCTAGACCCTAATCCCTAAACCCTAAACCCTTAATCCTAAACTTTTAACCCTAAACCCTTAACCCTAAACCCTAAACCCTCAGCCCTCAACCCTAAGCCCTAAATCCCTAAACCCTAAATCCCTTAACCCTGAACTTTTAGGACCCCAATCCCAAAATCTGGGCCTTCTGCGAGGCAGAGATGGTGCAGATCACCACTGCATTGAAGTCCGCGGGTACCAAGGCACGGTTTGGGTTTAGGGGTTTAGGGTTTAGGGCTTGGGATTTAGGGTTTAGAGTTAGGGATGTTTAGGGTTTAGGGTTTGGGATGTAGGGTCGGGCTTAGAGTGTAAGGTTTAAAGTTTAGAGTTTTAGGGTTTGGGATTTAGGGTTTAGAGTTTGAGGTTTAGGGTATAGAGTTTTAGGGTTTAGGGTGTCATGTAAACTCCTTATAGGGGGGTTGGAGATTTATAGGGGAGTATTGTAGGGTTATTGGGGTTACTCGGAGTTTAGCATATATAGCTCATGTGAGCTTGTGGGCACTGCCCAAGAAAGCTCCATGTCCCTCAGCTACCAAGCACACTCACAGGCTATGGTAAAGGTAGGAGTACAGGATTCGCGGATTTTGGGGCATTCCCCGGATTGAAGGCTAGTTTTGGGCATCTTACATTGTGGCCATTTTTCTGAGGTGCAGCAATGGCCTTGATTTTGGACAAAACCTTAAGAGTTCGTCTGGGACCTGGCCGCAGAGTATGTAGGTTCATGGCACAGGCACTTTGCAGGAACACTGGTTTGCATCATTCAGCATTCTGCGTTGTCAATGCACGGGTTGAGGATCTATGCTTTGAGACTCTTGGTGAATGTGATGGATGAATACGTGAGATGTTTATCCCAAGGGGTCTTACTAGTGGTTAGTAGGGGATAAGGGAATATAATCCATATATAACCACTGTATAATATATTCCCTGCTTTCCTACTATGACTCCAATATATACCGTATTATAATGTAGTAAAGCTGTAAGAGATAGGGGGTAGCGACCTGAAAAGTGCCTGAAAAGCGGCGGTAAATCCGGGATGCGGGCTGTCCACTGGTCTCCCAGCCTAAACCCTAAACCCGAAACCTTAAACCCCCTCCAAATATGTGAAAACAAGTCCATAGACTTACTGGTTCTTAGTCGGGAATCAGGGAGTATATTGCACAGGGGTTACATTTGGACTATATTCCCTTGTTCCCTGCTGACAGCTCGTAAGTAGAATGAATGCAAGCTTTGTAAACCTCATGTAATTCCATATGGTGGGCTTTTCATCAATGGTCCTTGGGACAAAGCCCTCAAGACAAATGGGTTTCGGGCTAAAGTTCCATTATCGCCCCAAGGCAAGTCTGATACACGAACCCCATAACCACATTTTCAGGCCTTGTATGAGTTGGCGAGGCGCAGTGAGGTCTTTGCTGCTACCCATTGAGCAGAAGCCGCGCAGCCTGCTGTAGCTATGTTGCAGCCTGCATGGCCGTCCGCACATGATTTCTTCTTGGGTGAGTGGGAAGACGACGAAGGCAGTCAAGTGTCGGTGGGGGTCCACTGGCCTTCGGTACGTGCAATTCTCCGAAAGGAGGATGTGAAAGAAGGGCGGCTCAGCATACATGTTGACGAGTTCGGCAGGTGGAAATGTGGCGAAGGCATCCTCCAGCCGCACAAGAGCAACAAGACCAGGATCTTATGGGTGGTCCGAGGCTGGAGGTGCCAGGCACTGGACTTGGTGGCGAACTTGGCCAGCTTCTTTCCAATTATTTTTGGGTGAGTGGGTGGACGATGAAGATTGCCATGTTTCAGTCGATGGGCATGAATCATCGATGCATGCTGTTCTCCGCAATGATGAGACAAACGTTAGGCGACGGCTGAGCATTTGCACCGACAAGTTTGGAAGATGGAAATGTGGCAAGGGCATCCTGCAGCCGGATAAGAGCAGCGAATCCAAGATTTTGTGGCGCTCAAACAAGGCGCGGCATTGGACACTGTGGCGGAAGCGTGCTGGCCCACCTTCCGATAATGACTGCATGCAGCAAGTGACATCTTTTTGCACCAGTTTGTCGCGACCCGAAAGCCAGGAGATCACGGTCCCAGTGTTTGCTCCGCGTTTCACGCAGTGCACGGTGAACAAGGATTTGAATTTCAAAGATGGCAGTGACATGTTGGTTCTACTGGAACAGCTCATGCGTGAGCCTGCTGCTGTGATACGCCTGCAACCATTGGATGCTTTCAAGTTCAAAGGGCCAGGCGACCGGACGGCCTTATATTGCCGTAACAACCGCAGACTATCGGTTTTGCGATGCGTGCAGGCTGTGCACAGCACCACCGTCATTCGAATACGGTGTCGTGTGCATGATCCAGCCAGTACCCAGACCCCCGAAAGGATCTGAAAATTAGATCCCCTAGAACTATAGGGGAACGAATATAAGGGTTATATAGGGGTTATAATGGGTCTATATAGGGGATCTATTTTTTAGATCCTCCCAGGGGTCTGGGTAGCCAAGTCATCCCACAGGGACCTTTGAGCTTGCGGCAGTGGTGGCTCAGTGGATATTCCGCCGCTGGACAATACGAAGGCTGCGATGGCCTGGGACTCCGCATTTGGGTCCGCTATGCTCCGCTGCATGTGAAAAACTATCGATTTGTTTGCATATTGCTCTGAGCAAGCCAATGCAGATTCAAATGTCTAGTGGATCATTGATATCTTGCAACGATCTCAGTAAAGCCATAGGTGTGGCAGCTTTGTGTACTTCAACAAGAGCAGCTAAACTGGATCAAGCTAGTTCAGGGTACGGCTGTTCAATGGGAGGTTCTCCAAATTGCGAGCCCACTTTCTGGGGCCCAAAAGCTGCGGCATGTAACGGGGACCTGGTGCTCCTGAGGAACTAGACTGCCACCTGAAATCCGAAGTTGCCTCCAAACATGAAGCTCCAGCCCCAAAAACCTGACGAACAAGAAACTCAAGCGGCCATGAGCTGGGAGCTTCCCCAAATCGGGGTCCCGTTTCCAATTTAGGTTGTCCCCCTTAAGTAGATAGCATATGGCTGTGGGTATATGAAAATAATATCCCCATATACCCCATATTCTGTCTACTTAAGGGGGGCTATAGGTGTTTCTTGAGAAGGTCAATCGGTTTAAAACGTTTGCGGCACGGGTCCTGAACCCCAAGCTCCAAGGCCCAAGACTTCAGCCCAATGGCAATGTCTGATGCAAGGATGCGAAGTTGCGTTCTTCGGGAGTTGTGGTGGTGGTCTTCCGTCACCAGAGCGACATGCGAGCTTGTTTGAAGAAGCCTGGCTGGCATGATTAGGTGCTTAGGGTGTAGGGTTTAGGGCAATATTCCTAATATATTCCAGCCATAACGCGGGAGCCATACTGCTTGTATGTTAACGGGGGAGGGAGTAGCGGCGCCTTTCGGGAGTTTTGTTCAGGATGCTTCCGTTAACATGAAAGCGTGCAGATATTGCCGAAGAATCTCACCACTGCTTGAGGGACCTCCATGGCCGCACTGTAAGAAAAGCCAGCTTGCCGAAAGGAAACAACCCGCCACAATTAACTTTGCTAATAACCAGGTAACGTCCTGTGGCTTCATTTGCTTTTACGGGTTTAGGGTGTTCGATGTCCTTCCTCATCAGAAACTTGTATGGGAACTTCTCATTCCCCGAATAGAAATCCTTAGCAGGAATCCCCATAATTCCTTTACATCCACATTACATGTATCCCTACCCGGAAGCTCGTAAGATTCAGTAGATCTCCGTACTATCCCCAACTATCCTATCATAAGGCCCATACCCGCTATCAGACCGTACGCTGCCTGCAGGTAGGATCCCCAGGTAGCATCAGTTTGAGAGCCCCCTAGACCCTGAACTCCAGACCCTTTCACTCACACTCTCCCTACTACCTACAAACTCAGCCTACTTCCCCATTCGCAACGCCACTTCTCCTAAACGCTAGACTCTCAAACCTACCCAAAGATATTCTCTCTCCAGCTCTCTCCTCTCTATCTCTCTCTTTGTCTTTCTCTCTCCCTCCCTATAGATGCTTCCCCTAAATTCGCAAACCTACAGAGGCCATACATTCACTAGCTCAAAGAGGGCCGTGGCAGGTGGTCCTCGTTCTGGGCGAGGTGGTTCAACTGCGAGGCTGAGGATCTCGGCCTCCTTTGGAGGAGAGCGGTCAGGGGGCAGCAACTCTTCTACGTGAGTTTTGACCCTAAATCTTAAACCCTAACCCTAAGCCCTAAACCCTAATTCCTAAAGCCTAAACGCCTTATAAACTCTAAACCGTTTGTTTGTGATGCGCATCGGAAAGCTTGTTTGTTGCAGCTTCTGACCCACTTCCATCCTCACCTGCGCAGGAATAACGGTATCTGCAAGGCGGGCATTGCAACAGGTTGCCCGGGATATTACCCCGATATGACCCCTACATAGCCTCATTATACCCCCTAATATGAGTATAAGCCTATTCATGAGCAATATGATCCACTCATCCGTTTTCCAGTCCACATCATGACAAGCCTATCTTCATGGACCACTTGAATCTCAAAAGGAGATAATTGCCATAGCCAGGCACCTTTAGGACTAAGTAGGTCCACCCACTATGCCCAATTACCGCTGTTTAGGGTCTAGGGTTTAGGCAAAGACCAACAGGACCAACGAGCCCTTGTTATCTGGAGCATTGATCCATTACATCCAGAGCTTGGGTCCCATGTCTTCGGATTCAGGATTGCGAACGGAAGAGCTCAACTTGAGACCAGGTAATGTCTATAGTCTCTCATAGCTGCAATTATAGATAACACAAGTGTTTCACGTACCTACTGCCCTTCACGGACCCACTGGATTCTTGTTGGCGATTCTTTCCACCGTTGCTGCCTGGGTGCGCACGAAATATCCAGAAGCCACCTTTATTTCTTCCCAACGTGAGAAGGACTAAGTGTAGGCTGCCGCCACGATCCTGTCATTATGCATGAAGCAAGCTGCTAATTTCAAACTCCACCATGGCGGGTCGTTCCCAATTCTCCCCAGCCTCCCTGAATCTTGAACCGTACTGGGGCTATGGGTTTTGAGAAGTCTGCGTTCTCCTCGCCTGCCCTGCAGTGCCCAACCCCAAGGAGGGGTTCGTAACAGGGTTTAGGGTTTAGGGCTTGGGTTTAGGGTTTAGGGTTTAGGGTTTACGGTTTAGGGTTTAGGCCTTGATACCACGCCGTAGACAACGGAAATTTGTTCCCACCTCGTGAAATTCGTATGTCAAATCCAAAGCTTGCCATTTCTTTGTTACTCACCCTCATATTGGGTTTCGGCTGTAGGGCTGCGTGCCTGGCAGTTGCTTTATGATTACCACTGTTACGATTACGAGTATTTTTTCTTACTATACATCTTGCTAAGATCGCTATCACACTTCTTATTCTTTTTGTGATCATTCAAAATCAGCCATGTGTCAGCATGCCAGGGCGGGGCGCTTCCGAAATTCCCGATTGGAGGGCGGCCGCAGCTTGCCCGCACCAATTTTGTGGAATGTCTTGCACATGGAAACCCTGAACCTGTCGGCCTAAATCCTAGGCCCTGAATGCGGTTTGTGATTCATCTTTTGGGGCTTGTGATCGAGGGCTTGGGGCTGGTAGGGTGGGTGACTACGTACATAAGGTACTTCTGTCTGGATGAGTCTGAGTGTATCTGGGTGTCCCTGTGAGCTCCGGTGAGCCTTCGTGGCATTTGGCTATCATCGTGCCCGTAAATCCAGAGCGGATCAAACATGTCAAAGTACCCGCTGTGCGGTTCTTCTCAGCTTACATACGGACCCATGTACCGTAAATCAGCATCACGGGGTTTGGCTCCTAAGGCTGCATGGAGGTAGTATGAGTACAAACACCGGTGTCCAGAACAATGCGCATGGAATGCTTTTGGAGGGTCCCGAATACTGATTTTCGCTTTGCCTGCAGTTCCACCGTCTATGTCTCACATTAGTGCGCTTTTGGTCAGCACTACTCCAAGCTGGCGATGCTAGCAGGAAATGAAACACGTGTTAGGCATTAATGTCTAAGGACTTTTGGAGGGACCCCTAATAGGGACCCTTGTAGCTTATGGGGGTTAATATGGAGACTACCTAGGGATATAGGGGTTATATAATGACTATAAAAGGGTTATATATGTTAATGGGATTAAGGGTCCCTATTAGGGGTCCTTCCTAAAGTCCCTAGATGGTGGCTAGAGCTGGAGCCCCAGTTCCCTGATCCCCGGAGCGCAGGACCCACCAGGTCCCCATTCAGAGACCATGAAACAGCATCCAAAAGCCACAGCACCGACCACTTGAACCTTTTGGTGCACCCGCTCGTATCTACTACCTATTGCCTCCTCCCCTAATCCTCAAGCTGCTACCAGTTGTTGTAGAAGAAGGAAATGAACAGTTGTAGTTGCCGCCAGCGCTGCCGCGCCAGCACTCCTCTTGGAGCTACTTCTGCAGCTCATGTTCCTGATTTTCCTCCTCCCCCCCCTATATAACCCCATTATAGTAGTTTCCATTCTCTTTTCCATCATCCCTATATAACCCCAATATAACCCTATAGTAGGTTCCACTTGCTTTTTCCATTATCCCCTATATAACCACTCTTCCTCCTGTCCTCCTCTTCCTCGTTTTCCTCCTCCTCTGTCTCCTCTGTGCCTGCCACTCCTACAGCTTCTGGGGTTTTATTGGGGTTATATTGGGAAAAAGGAAATGAAAACTACAATAGGGTATATATTGGGTTGATAGCGATGTCTCTTGCGCCAGGCTAGCCGAACTTTCAGTTGTGCCTGAGCAGCATTGGCAGCTGTTTTCAAGGAGTGCAAAGATTGGGCATCCGCGGAGTAGTATGTAATGTATTTATAGATATAGAGAGTTTATGCGGAGACAGGACATTTCGGATTTCTGCCAGGGGTCTTGCTTCATCGCGCATATGTAGATGTGGCTTTCGCAGCGAGGACCTTTTCCAAGGGTTTGCTCTGGCCTGCGCTCAGCTGCAAGGCCAACTTTTCAAGTTTGGCCTTGCCTGTTGAAGGCGAGTTGCATGGAGGGTACAGTTGAGTCAACACTGTCCCCAGACCCTACACCCTGAACCTTAAACATTATGGTAGTTTCCATTTTCTTTTTCATTATTACCTAGTCTCCAGGGTGCGTGGTTTGATGTTTTAGCTCGCGGGTTTTGCTTTTGGGTCTTTGCAATACGGCTCGGAGATATCCCTCGCGTGAGCGTTAGTTAGCTAAGAACAGGGAAGCCAATCCTTCCCGGACATTTATGAACGCTGCAAACTTGATGAACATGTCTCACAAGAGTGTACTCCTTGGGGTGTCCTACAATAGGGACTCGCGACTTCGTAGCGTTTTTCGGGGGTATACAAGGGGACCTTGATCTCGAGAAATTTGCAGATGTCCTCCAATATGAACACGGTTCTGGCCCTAAACCCTAAAGCCAGAGAGAGGGTCCAGAAGCAGCCTGTGGAGTCCTGAGCTCTGAATTACTTACTTGCTGGGGCCGGGGTTAGTGCAGACCCCTGATTAATAAACCCCTCCCCTTAATGGGGGTTATAATAGGGATGCAAATATTAAGGCCCTTAAAAGGAGGGGGCTTATTAATCATGGGTCTACACTAGCAAAGCAATATATTCTATAGGGAGTATAGGGGGATTATATTCCCCCACTCCCCGCTAACCACAAGTAAGTAGCCTTGAACAAGCTGTTAAACCTGTGACCTCGAACCAATATGTCATTTATATGTCATGCTCGTCTCTTCCTGACATGCCCTTGCAGAACCGTGCATCACCGCTTCACCCGTTGTCGAACAGCCCACCCCACCTGTGCCAAATCCTCTACGCCCGTACACCCTGAAGTCCTACCTCCCTTAATTAGCGCTGAGCCCTATAATCCTTGATCTCTTTACAGCCTAAACCCTATGCACTATACTCTACACTCCTACACGCTGCAGTCTCGGGCAGCCAATCCTGGTGACATCCACTGGACTGAGCTTGCTGTTGCTCCGAATGAGCGACGGAAAAGGCCAGCAATGAATGTCTTGGCAGTTTCCGGTTGAATATGGACATGAATATATGGGGTTTGGAAACAATGTGGAGCACCAATATAGATCCCAAGTCATATATTCCGCTTTATTATGGGTACCCTGACAAGGGACACCCACGTAGTTTTTGGAACCCCCCCGCACACATAAATACATATGTCTATTTACATCTCTCAGATTTCTTAAACCGCAAGAAGTTGATATGGAGAGTTGTGGATGCTTAGGGTCAGACAGCGAGCAGATGATTCTTACTATGCTGTTCT